AGACTAACTCACTGAACGTTCACTCTGATGAACGGTCTTTTAGTGGCAGGATTTTTACAAATTGTGGCTGCTATAGCACCACAAACTTTGCAATCATACAAAGTGCTTAAAAAGACACTCGAATGGGGATACTCAAAAATTACAAAGCCTGTTCAATGCAAATCACTTTTTTGAAAAGCCTCTACCCACTTACTGCTCCCTAGATTTGTTCCACTTCATTGATGTGACATTCTCCACCTTACAATAAATAGTTCAACCATGTAGATATGTAATAAAAACAGCACTTCTTTACTACTACAAATGCAAAATTCCATGAAAGATTAATTCAAGAAAACAGAAGAGCACTCAAAACATAACTATTACAGCTCATTGTAACAGTGAAGGTGTTCAGGTACCTCCCCAATTTGTGTTTGCTAATGAAGCTCTCAGCATCTAAAGCCCTCTCTCCTTGGATGAAGAAGTTAATTTACAGACTAGTGGTCCAACTCTGGATGGTTAAATAGGCTGAGACCAAGGATGGTGAGTCAGCTTAGGGCTGTCCAAAAGCTGTATGAGTAATCCAAAGATAAGAAGTGCAACATCTTTGACCTGACTTTGTCTGGCCATTGCGACAATATTGCACTTTTTTACAAGATGACTCAAAAGGCGGAAAGGTATAGGAGAATTCCAAAAACAAAATATGTCCATTAGGTTTGTCCTATGACAAAAGGGGAAACTTTCAGTTGAATTCTAAGGACAGAAGCCCCCCTGCAAAGAGCCAAGTACAGTTTGAAGAGCAAGTAAGACAATTATAAAGTAAATGATTCTCCCCCCCAATTCTGAATGAATGATTTCCACAATACAAATGGGATGTAAATCCACCAGGAATGTTCCTTTATTTCTATATCTTACATAACAGGCATCAACAATTGCAATATTATGCCATATGTGTGAGATGTATTATATTAAAAAACCTTGTGTTTGTGATTCCCTAACTGACAATGTACTGTTGTTATTTTCCAGTAGGTTGCAGTGTGGTACTGCACAGACTGGTATTTGAGATATAATTAAGGTCGGAGTAGAGTGGGTCAATGAAAAGTAACTGGAAGGCGGGGATGGGTTTTGATGGAACACCAATTGGCAGAACAGGGTAGCTTAAGACAGTTTGGAAATAATAGGATCAGTGAGTAAGGTATGATTGGCACATAATTCAGTGAGTTCAAATGTGATGATTAATAGATAGTGTTTTTTGGGCGACCCATATTAGTGATATTGATGGACAGTGTCTACATTGATATAATTGACAAGTGACAGTATTTTGGGGAATCATGGACTGGAAACCGTGCCAGGGGTGGGATAAATTTATAAGATTTGGAAATATTTGCTCTAACAATTATGGGTTCCTACCACCGACAGTATTTGTGAGATTTTCTGTAAGTGTTATCACTCAAGTGAGAATTGCCAAGAAGTAAAACTTAAGGGCGAAATGGAAGCACAGATCTTGAAACTTTTTCCAGTTCAGCTATTATTAACAGGCATTATGGGGTTACCTGGCACTTGGCAGTATTTGGGGAAAATATTGCTAGATAGTATAGGGTTACCCGACAGGTGGCAGTAATTTGGGATGTTATTAATAGGTGTTATGGGGTAACCTGGCAGGTGGCAGTAATTTGGGATGTTAATAGACATTATGGGGTTACTTGGCAGATGGTAGTATTTAGGGGTGTAATTGGGTTACCTGGCAGGTGGCAGTATTTTTGGATGGTATTAATAGATATGAGGTAACCTGGCAGGTGGCAATAATTTTCGATGTCAATAGACTTTATGGTGTTCCTAGCAGGTGGCAGCATTTGGGGTGTAATGGCGTTACTTGGTAGGTGGCAGTATTTTGGGGTGTAATGGGTTAACCTGGCAGGTGGCAGTATTTTGGGGTATAATGGGTTAACCTGGCAGGTGACAGTATTTTGGGATGTTATTAATAGATGTTATGGGATAACCTGGCAGGTGGCAGTAATTTATGTTAATAGACATTATGGGGTTACTTGGCAGGTGGCAGTATTTTGGGGTGTAATGGGGTTACCTGGCAGGTAGCATTATTTTGGGGTGTAATGGGGTTACCTGGCAGTATTTTGGGGTGTAATGGGGTTACCTGGCAGGTAGCAGTGTTTTGGGGTGTATTGGGGTTACCTGGCAGGTGGCAGTATTTTGGGATGTTGTTAAAGAGTGCTATTATGTTCCTGGCAGGTAGCAGTATTTTGGGGTGTATTGGGGTTACTTGCCAGGTAGCAGTATTTTGGGGTGTATTGGGGTTACTTGCCAGGTAGCAGTATTTTGGGGTGTTGTTAATGAGTGCTATGATGTTCCTGGCAGGTGGCGGTATTTTGGGGTGCTATGATGTTCCTGGCAGGTGGCAGTATTTTGGGGTGCTGTGATGTTCCTGGCAGGTGGCGGTATTTTGGGGTGCTGTGATGTTCCTGGCAGGTGGCGGTATTTTGGGGTGCTATGATGTTCCTGGCAGGTGGCAGTATTTTGGGGTGCTATGATGTTCCTAGCAGGTGGCAGTATTTTGGGGTGCTGTGCTGTTGGTGGCAGTATTTCGGGGGGTGCTATGCTGTTGGTGGCAGGGGGCAGTATTTCGGGGTGCTATGATGTTGGTGGCAGTATTTCGGGGTGCTGTGCTGTTGGTGGCAGTATTTCGGGGTGCTAGGATGTTGGTGGCAGTATTTCGGGGTGCTGTGATGTTGGTGGCAGTATTTCGGGGTGCTGTGATGTTGGTGGCAGTATTTCGGGGTGCTATGCTGTTGGTGGCAGTATTTCGGGGTGCTATCCCGTTGGTGGCAGTATTTCGGGGTGCTGTGATGTTGGTGGCAGTATTTCGGGGTGCTATGCTGTTGGTGGCAGTATTTCGGGGTGCTGTGATGTTGGTGGCAGTATTTCGGGGTGCTGTGATGTTGGTGGCAGTATTTTGGGGTGCTATCCCGTTGGTGGCAGTATTTTGGGGTGCTATGCTGTTGGTGGCAGTATTTTGGGGGTGCTATGCTGTTGGTGGCAGTATTTCGGGGTGCTATGCTGTTGGTGGCAGTATTTTGGGGGTGCTGTGATGTTGGTGGCAGTATTTTGGGGTGCTGTGATGTTGGTGGCAGTATTTCGGGGTGCTGTGCTGTTGGTGGCAGTATTTCGGGGTGCTGTGATGTTCCTGGCAGGTGGCAGTATTTTGGGGTGCTATGCTGTTGGTGGCAGTATTTTGGGGTGCTGTGATGTTGGTGGCAGTATTTTGGGGTGCTATGCTGTTGGTGGCAGTATTTCGGGGTGCTATGCTGTTGGTGGCAGTATTTCGGGGTGCTGTGATGTTGGTGGCAGTATTTCGGGGTGCTGTGCTGTTGGTGGCAGTATTTCGGGGTGCTGTGATGTTCCTGGCAGGTGGCAGTATTTTGGGGTGCTATGATGTTGGTGGCAGTATTTTGGGGGTGCTGTGCTGTTGGTGGCAGTATTTTGGGGTGCTATGCTGTTGGTGGCAGTATTTCGGGGTGCTGTGATGTTGGTGGCAGTATTTTGGGGTGCTATGCTGTTGGTGGCAGTATTTCGGGGTGCTATGCTGTTGGTGGCAGTATTTCGGGGTGCTGTGATGTTGGTGGCAGTATTTCGGGGTGCTGTGCTGTTGGTGGCAGTATTTCGGGGTGCTGTGATGTTCCTGGCAGGTGGCAGTATTTTGGGGTGCTATGATGTTGGTGGCAGTATTTTGGGGGTGCTGTGCTGTTGGTGGCAGTATTTTGGGGTGCTATGCTGTTGGTGGCAGTATTTCGGGGTGCTGTGATGTTGGTGGCAGTATTTTGGGGTGCTATGCTGTTGGTGGCAGTATTTCAGGGTGCTGTGCTGTTGGTGGCAGTATTTCGGGGTGCTGTGATGTTGGTGGCAGTATTTCGGGGTGCTGTGCTGTTGGTGGCAGTATTTCGGGGTGCTGTGCTGTTGGTGGCGGTATTTCGGGTGCTATGCTGTTGGTGGCAGTATTTCGGGGTGCTGTGATGTTCCTGGCAGGTGGCAGTATTTTGGGGTGCTATGATGTTGGTGGCAGTATTTTGGGGGTGCTGTGCTGTTGGTGGCAGTATTTCGGGGTGCTGTGATGTTGGTGGCAGTATTTCGGGTGCTGTGATGTTGGCAGTAGCTATGCTGTTGGCAGTATTTTGGGGTGCTATGCTGTTGGTGGCAGTATTTGGGTGCTGTGGTTGGTGGCAGTATTTTGTGCTGTTGGTGGCAGTATTTGATGTTGGTGGGCAGTATTTCTCGCGCTATGCTGCTGTTGGTGGCAGTATTCTCAAGTGCTGTGATGCTGGTGGCAGTATTTCGCGCTAAGTGCTGTTGGCAGTATTTCGGGGGTGCTATGTGCTGTTGGTGGTAGTATTTTGGGGGTGCTGTGCTGTTGGTGGCAGTATTTCGGGGTGCTGTGGATGTTGGTGGCATTGGGTGCTAAGGCGCTGCTGGTGTATTTTTGGGGTGCTGCGTTGCTGGCAGTATTTTGGGTGCTATGCTGCTGCGTGTATTTGGGTGCTGTGCTGTTGGTGGCAGATTTTGGGGCGCTATGCTGGTGGCAGTATTTCTGGGTGTGCTGTGATGTTGGTGGCAGTATTTCGGGGTGCTATGCTGTTGGCAGTATTTTGGGGGTGCTATGCTGTTGGTGGCAGTATTTTGGGGGTGCTATGCTGTTGGTGGCAGTATTTTGGGGTGCTATGATGTTGGTGGCAGTATTTTGGGGGTGCTATGCTGTTGGTGGCAGTATTTTGGGGGTGCTATGCTGTTGGTGGCAGGGTATTTAGTGGCAGCCCAGTGGGGGCCAGTGACATACATGATGGTAGTTTGATGTCAGCATGGTGGGAGACTCACCCGGGCCTTCTCGCACTGCTCCTCGCCCCCTATGTCGAGGCGCACGGTGCGGTGGTGCCCATGACGCGGGCTCGGTTCCGGTACCCGCACTCGCACGTTGAACAGTCTGTGGATGCGGGGGGCGCAGCGCTGCAGCAGAGGACACGCACTCTCCGGGACATTCAGCTCCAACACCATCTAACTCGGCAGGCCGGGGCAGGCCCTCTCCGGACCCAGGCTGACTGGGTGCGCGGATTATCCGGCCTGGTCCGGGTCCGGGCCCGGGGCCCTGCCGCTCCCACCTCCACCTCACCGGGCAGTCCGAGCCCGCGGCACCATCTCCACAGCGCTGCCTGCAGCTGCCCACACACCGCCCGCTCCACGTATCCTAGCAACGTCGGCCGGGCCTGCAAGGAATGAAGAACAGCGGCACCCAGCGGCCGGCGGCAGAACTGCACTGGCCTGGCCTGGATACTGCATTACATGATACAGGCCTGCTGGGGGTTCTCCCAATGGACCTGTCTGGGGAGCTCTAATAACTGGCTTCCCTGTGGCAGGACAGTATTAATACTCTATAGACTTTAGATTGTAAGCTCAGGGGCAGGGCGCTCTACCTTGGTCTGTTTATGTAGTATTGTCTTTTTCCCCTCAATTGTACAGCGCTGCGGAATTTGTTGGCGCTTTATACATGCCAGTAATAAATAGAATATAAACAAGGATTTGTTACTATTTGTTTTTTTATATTACAGGACTGATATCCAACATACAAGTAGGTATGGCATCTGCGACTCCATGGATTTCTATGAGGGAGGCTGTGTCATGCAGCAATGATATGCTCCATTCAACAAGTGACTTGTTCCATTTATGGAAGCCTTCACTTCTGGAGAAGGCTAACTGCAGAAAGCTGCAAATCATGCAAATTTACAGCAAATGTAGGAATTTTAAAGGTGGTCCAACAATTGCAGCGTTAGTGCTATCCGTGTCTATTACGTGTGGATTAAGCCTTGTGACAGCAGGGCAGTCTGTTATAGATCTAATGATGTAGGGATTTATTTGTACATATTAGCAACTTTAATACTAATTGAATATCGCTTCGTTACAGCAGGGTGCTTAAAGGACCACTCTAGGCACCCAGACCACTTCAGCTTAATGAAGTGGTCTGGGTGCCTGGTCCAGCTAGGGTTAACCCATTTTTTTATAAACATAGCAGTTTCAGAGAAACTGCTATGTTTATAAATGGGTTAATCCAGCCCTCAAATCCTCTAGTGGCTGACTCATTGACAGCCGCTAGAGGCGCTTGCATGATTCTCACTGTGAAAATCACAGTGAGAACACGCAAGCGTCCATAGGAAAGCATTGTAAATGCTTTCCTATGAGATCGGCTGAATGCGCACGCAGCTCTTGCCGCGCGTGCGCATTCAGCCGAAAGGGAGGAGAGGAGGAGGATTGGAGGCGGAGAGCTCCCCGACCGGCGCTGGAGAAAGGTAAGTTTTTAACCCTTTCCTCTCCCCAGAGCCCGGCGAGAGGGGGACCCTCAGGGCACTATAGTGCCAGGAAAACAAGTATGTTTTCCTGGCACTATAGTGGTCCTTTAAGCAGTTTTACATGTTCATCCTTTTATGCATGGGTCCTCAAACTCTGGCCCCTCAGTTGTTGCTGAACTACAACTCCCATGATTCTCTGGCTATATATGTAATTCAAAGAATCATGGGAGTTGTAGTTCAGCAACATCTGGGGGGCCGGAGTTTGAGGACCCATGCTTTTATGGATAAGAAAGAATAGAATCTTTTTGAAATTCGAAATTCCAACCCAGGTAAGAGATATACAGAGGCAAAGTAGGAACAGCTTTGTTTCTGTATTTCTCCTCCACCTGACTTTCTTAGATTCACGGTGGCGTCTGCAGGGACATATATGATTGATATACACAGGGGCGTACCTAGAGCATTTGGCACCCGGGGCGGATCCTGTGCAGCCTAGCCCAAAAACCTGTAAAAAATTTTAAAGGTTCTCTTTTTTTTTCTTACAATTTGTAAAGACTCCTGTCCCAATACAAAACCCCCGCCCCCTTCTACAAAATCCCTGCAGCCCCACACACACATTTACAGTCACACATTTACAGACAGTCACACACTCAGTTACAGGCAGACAGTCACATACAGTCACAGGCAGACAGTCACACATACACATTTCCTCCGTGCGGCCAGTTTATCAGCTGTTTGCTTGTGTGAGCTGTACTGGCCGCACGGCACCCTAACTACCATGGGACACTGTGCGGCCACAGCTCACCCAGCCCCCTCCAGCCAGGGCCGGTGCAAGGATTTTTGCCGCCCTAGGCAAAAGTAAAGTTTGCCGCCCCCCCCATGTGACATCACAATGCCCCACCCATATGATTTGCCATGTTAACTAATGCCAGTGCTACAGTGCCACCGTGTTTACATTAAAAGGCCTGCAGGGACAGGCTATAGACACCAGAACCACTACATTAAGCTGAAGTGGTTCTGGGGACTAGTATTTTCTTTAATGTGAGGTAAATTAAGGATTTAGTGCCGCGAATAATATGCCTGAATTTTCACTGGCAGATGGGGATGATGATGAGCTCCTAGCTGCAGTCTGGCTCCACTGGTCTGGTGCAGGGCTGTAGGCTCTCTGGAGGCCGGTTTGTAACTGTGGTCCTAAAATCATGTGCGGAGAGCGGGAAGCAGCTCCATTTTTGGGGGTCCTTTACACAGCTCAGGTCTGGGTCCCAGGGTCCACCTTCATGTTCCTGTGGGTTTGTTCACGGGGGTGGGGTGTGTGAGGGGATGTCTGTGTATTGATGTAAGGGAATGCAGTGTATGAAATTGTGTTTGTGTATGTGTAAGGGCTGCAAGGTGTGTTTCTGTGTATGTATGGGATGCATTGAATGTGTGGAAGGGGTGCATTGAGTGCGTGTAATGAATGCATTGTGTGTTTCTGTGTGTGTAAGGGATGCATTGTGTGTAACGGTTGCATTGCTTGTGTATGTGTGTCTGTGTGTGTAATGCATTGTGTGTTTTTTCTGTGTGCAAGGGGTGCATTGTGTGTATGTGATGAATGTCAATCTCTCCTCCCGCTCCAATTTCCTTCTCCTCCTCCCAATTTCTCTCTCACCCCCCCTCCTAATTTCTCTTTCCCCCCTCCTAATATCTCTTCCCCCCTCCTAATTTCAATTTCTCTCCCCCCCTCCTAATTTCAATTTCTCTCCCCCCAATTTCTATTTCTCTCCCGCCCTAATTTCTCTTTCCCCCCCTCCTAATATCTCTCCCGCCTCCTAATATCTCTCCCTCCCTCCTAATTTCTCTTCCCCCCTCCTAATTTCTCTCTCGCCCCCCCTCTCCTTTCTCACCCCCCCTCTCCTTTCTCACCCCCCCTCTCCTTTCTCTTCCCCCTCCTTTCTCTTTCTGACCTCCTTTCTCTTTCACACCTCCTTTCTCTTTCACACCTCCTTTCTCTTTCACACCTCCTTTCTCACCCCCCCCTTTCTCCTCTTTCTCACCCTCCCTCCTTTCTCACCCCCCCTTTCTCCTCTCTCACCCCCTCTCTCACCCCCCCTTCTCCTTTTTCACCCCCCCTCCTTTTTAGTCCCCCCTTTCTCCTCTTTCACCCCCCCTCCTCTTTTCACCCCCTCTCATTTTTCACCCCCTTTCTCCCTCTGTCTCCCCCTCTCCTCCTTTTCACCCCCCTCTCTCCTCTTTTTCACCCCTCCTTTTTTTTACCCCCTTTCTCCTCTCTTTCACCCCCTCTCTCACCCCTTTCTCCTCTCTCACCCCCTCCTCACCACCCCCTTCTCCTTGCTTTTCTTCCCCCTCTCTCCTCTTTTCACCCCCCTCCTTTTTCATCCCCCTTTCTCCTCTTTCACCCCTCCTCTTTTCACCCCTTTTTCTCCTCCTGTCACCCCCTCTCCTCCTTTTCACCCCCTCTCTCCTCCTTTTCCCTTTACTCCTTTTTCACCCCCACTTTCTCTCTTTTGCCTACTTACTTTACCCTCTCTCTCCTCTTTTCACCCCTCCTCTTTCCACCCCTCGCTTTTCGTGCCTCTTCTTTCTCACTCCCCCTCCCTACCTTTGCTTTGTGGCGTGGCGGGCCAGTATAGTCAGCGTTTGAGGCAGCTCTCTCCTGTACCCACGGCCGGACTAACAGGAAATTACCGCACTGAGTGTGCGCTTCCTGTTAGTCCGACCTGGGGCTAACTACTCTCTTTCCCACGTCGGTTTTCTGTCTTTGCCGAATACCGACACGCTTCACAGCAAAGGGTGACAGGAGGCGTCGGCGCTTCCCTCCCTGTCAGTACTCTCCAGGCTGGCGCCCGAGGCGGTGCCGGTCCGCCCTCATGGGCCTGCGCCGGGCAAAAGCTTCGCTGAGGCTCAATACAGGCGTTCGAGGCGTGCAGCCTCGAGAGGCGGGGCTGGTCTGGCACCCCCCACCCGGCTGGCACCCGGGGCGGACCGCCCCCCCGCCCCCCCCCTTAGTACGCCACTGGATATACAATAGGAGAGAGGAGGAGCATGAGACAGCAAGATCTTAGAGGAACACACCAAGCACCATAACCACTACAGCACACTAATGGTTAAGTTGTCAGGAGTGTCCTGATTTTCCCAATGCATACCTCCCAACATTTCAAATGGAAAAAGAGGAAAACTTTAGTATTAGGCGTGTTGCCAGGAGTGGGGCTGTTCTGAGAGATTTTAGGTTTAGGTTTATCAATAACAATTTATGCAACTACAATAAAATGTATTTTAGCTCAAGAACAATATGTTATTTTCAAAGCATGATTTCTAAGCACATTTATTGTAGTTTAAAGACATGTTACTGTGAGTATTATTGCTGGGGAGCTCTGTTTCACACTCAGAAACACCAACAATATGGAGCTCCTAGACAAGAAGGACATTAGGAGAGAAATGAGGGACAGGGGGATTTTGGTTCCAAAATAGTGATTGCCTCTCCTAAAAAGGGACACTTGGGAGGTATGCCAATGTAAGTAGTCAAACTGTTTTAGAGTGGTTTGACTTATTACGTGGTTTACAGGGCACCACTCCCAACCTCCACTACAGCCATCACAGAGCCAGTAGCTCTCTGTCTGAGATAAGCCCAAACTGTTCTAAAACTGTTTACTTATAATCGGAAGAGAGGAGGGGACATCAAAGCACTCCTGGCACTATGGTTATGGTGCTTGGTGTGTTTTTATTTTTATGGAATAGCTCCTGATCATATAATGAAAGAGAGACTCCACTGCCCAAATAAAAATTTTTTAAATCACTGTTTAATAGATATACCCAAATGAGAACATGAATGCAATTAATTATGCATTTTTGCAGGTATATCTAAACACAGCCTGTAAAAGCTCCAGATCTCTTGTCTGAGCCTTCACAGTCCCTCCC